GCTCCTGCTTCGGCTGGACCAACCGGCGGGGGGTCACTCCCCCAGAGACTGTTGCCGCAACTGCCCAGCACACGTCCCTGGCCTGCATCACCTACTGTACCCCCATGCCCAGCGACGCTCATCGGTGTAACGCACGTGGAGCCAATTCAGGCGCTGCCTGGCCACGACGGTGTTGGCAAACCGCTTGGCCCTGAACCAGTAGGCCATGACCGCGTCAAGACCTCCACAAACTCCGGGGAGTTGGATCGCAAAAGTCTTCTCTTTGGATGGATCCGCCACCTTTGCTAGAGGGCCTGCTACGGCCAGAGCGTAAGCCAACATGAGCGTGTAGAGCTTGTCCGAGTACGTCTCCGCATGCTTGAAAGCGCGTCCGCAGAACAGGGAGCCATTCGCCCAAAACTTCATGAATCACGTTGTCCTGATGTGATGGGGCCCCGCAACTAGTTCGAGTGGCGCCGGTGAATGGAGTTCCTTTGACAGGGCCGACTGTCGGCCCAGAATTCTATGATTGCAGTCAGCCTGAGACAGGCCGGTCGCAGACATTTCTTGTTTAATAGCGTCACCCCAGTAGCATTCCGCCTCGGTGAGAGCCCTGGGTACATCTGCCTTTTGAGATGCGTCAAAGGACAGCAGTCAGGCCTGCAGCTCAGCTTTCGGCGCATCGCATAGTAATGCAGTTGCCTCGCGCGCTCCGCCACCGTGAGAGCGCATGCTAGGGGACAGTGAGCTTCGGGATGTTTTGGCAGCGGCGCAAGCTGCGCTTCCCAGCCGAGGTCCATCCCAGTGACAGGGTAGTCTCCAGAGTTTCCAAGGAGTTGGCCAAGCGCGTGTTGCGCGTGTTCAACATCTGGACATAAGTCAAGAACTCGCAGCTCCAGCTTACCACCATTCAGAAGAAAGCTTCGGGACAACGTGTGTATTAGTGTATATCGACGAAATGTAGACGGAAGAGGCCAGCGCGAAGCAGACGCAGTCCAAGATGGCTCCACTCGTGTGACTCACCACTGGGTTGACATAGCGCAGCTGCTGGTCGAGGCTCCGCATGTGGATGGCCAACCGCATTTACTGGGGGAGTACCTGATAGCACTCTCTGGCGTCACGCCGGGATGGCCCATCCAAGGCGGCAGTGATGAGGCGCCAAACGGTGGAACGGATCAGCGCCTGCAAGAGGTCCGCGCTGTTCCTGTCAACTGCCAACCAAAGGACACGTTCTGTTCGGCAGGCCGACGTCTGCGGGAGGTACATATCGGGGGCGTCCGCGAGGAGGCCATAGTTTGTCATGTGGACACCTTGCAGCCGATAGTCCAGGGCCGCCTCGAACGCCAACAAGAATGAACCGATTGATGTACCACGCGTCCTCCGCGAATGCCCTGTGTGGGAAGTTGCCGGGGAAGAACTGCTGCAAGCACCGGTACAAGGTGTTGCCGAGCAAGGGCAGCGAAGTAGTGTAGTGGGCCACTCTGCTGGGGAAATCTCCGCCGGCACATGGTTGAAGGGCACAAAGCCGCCACCGCGATGGGAAGGATGCTGCTGGCGGACGTCCGCTCGATCGATGGCTGATATTGCTGGTCTTGGTGCACCGAAGGGGTGTAGCGTCCATGGTCGAGTGGCTGAGCTGGCTGCAACGGTGGATAATGGACCGGTTGGGGCAATGGAGCTGGTGGTTGTGTGGTCGCAGCTGTTCCAGGTCCTTGATGTAGCAAGGTTGCCGATGTATCTCGTCCGGCACTTGCGGGGGCGCCTTTTTGGGTGTGACCAGTGATGCTGGCGGCGCTTTGGTTGATGTATACTGCTCGATGCCATGTTCTGCGCGGCATTCACATCAGCGTCCATGGTATCCCGGGCGTTGCCGAAGGAGGGCGCCGAAGAAGAAGTAGACGAGGTCGTCGTAGCTGACGCAGTCGGAATGCTGGGAGGAGGATCCGATGGTTGCATGTCCGGGAACGGTGGTGGCGCAGCCTTACAGGTGTGGTCATAGGAGGTGAAACATCCTGAGGTGGGGTTAGGGGATGGGCCTTAGGGAACGCAGGCGTCAATCTCCCAAGAGTATAGGTTGTCGCTCTCTTGCTTTGGGAAATGACGAACACGAGCCACTCCGTACCGATGGCGGTCGTCCTCTGGCGGGAGCCTCTGGTGTTTAAGATAGGAGGGTTGCTCGCCTGGATGTACTCCTTGTAGCAGGTGTAGGACTCGAAGCGGCACCACGAGCATCCAATCTCGAACCTGGAGATAGCCGTGCTCCACAATTTGCCCAGGCTGTCGATGATGAGACCGTCCGCTGTAGCTCGATCCACTGTTTGGAGTCGGCCGACGGTTTGCTTGTAGTTGAGGAAGCCGTCGAGGCGCACCCTCTTTTGTTCTTGGACCGCCTTGAACAATGCTTCCGGAAAGACGTCTCCGTGGACGTGATGGCACTCATCACCCTGAGTGCACAAGCCCCGGAAGAAGTTCTGGCAGGGGTAGTTGAAGGGTACCCACATACCGTCCAAGAAATTGGGGTGGGTCTTGCTGCACAATCTGGGTCCGTAATGGCACATCCTATTCGCCAAGATGTCCGGGCAGGTCTTGCGGTCCGCTCGGAGATCGGACTCCGGAGACTGTCCGAAGGCCCGCTGCACCGGGAAGTCCTCACTGATGGCCCGCAAAGGGCGTTCCGAATGGAATGCGCAGACCTTCTGTCCGAATAGGTAGTGCCACATGTGCATATCTTCCGGACGCAGACGCTGTCAATCCAGTTCTGCGATGTCCATGGCTCGATCGGCACGACGCTGAATCATCGATCTTACGGTGATCCAGATGGCCTGGTGTTTTAATTGAGGAGTTCTCACCGAGGCGGAATGCCAACCCCAAATGAAGGCCAAAAACAAAATCTTACGGAATCTGGAGCCGTTCCGATCTGTTGATCCAAAATGGCATACGGATTGAATCGATCACCTGTAACCCGCATGCGATCAACATGTCCGAACCTGAAGCTTGGAAGTTGTCATTAACTTCGCACGCGAAACACAATACACCGGTATCACACAAGTCGACTCCTGTAAGATCACTTGCAAGTCGACTCCTGCTCAGTTCAAACAAAGCTGCTGCCAGTTTGGCTCACAGCCTAGCTTGGACTGACTTGTTTTTGGCAAAATCACACAGCTCAAATTGATTCAATCAACATGGGTGTCCACCATGGCGATTTGAATCAGTATTCAAGATTTGATGCTCAGGTAATAGATACTGATCATCATGCTAACAACAAGGCAATGGTAAGTACAAATTATAAATATAATGCCGATGGTGATAAAATTGCGGCATTAAAATAATTAGAGCGCCGGATAACCTCACTTGTCAATGTTTTTTCTACAGATGCGTGCGCGTAGTTGTGTTATAAAACTACATTGGCGGGGGGAGGGGGAGGGGTTTGGGGATTGCAAAAATCTGAACGCATTGTTTGCTTTGCATACGCGGTGAGTATGATCACACCTAGCGGCTTACACATAGCATTGCATGCGGCCAATGAGAATGGCAAGTGCTCTTCGCAACAAGTTGCAGCAAGAGCGGCCCCGGCACGTGTGCCTGCGGGGCACCTACTTCAAGCAAAAACAGCACGGCATTGCCTGCGCTACGCCTTCCTGAGCGCCGGAGACGTCCGACATTCAGGGAACTGCACACCACGGAGACTGGGCGGAGTCCGCACACAGTCACATGCAAGCATATGGTGGGTGGGTGCGAGGTGTGGGGTGGTGAGGATCAGCGTGAGCATCATTGGCATGAGGGGGTGAGTTGGTCGCATTTCGTACACGGTGCCATTTGGCGCTGCTCGCAAAAAATGCCATACCAAGCCACACAAGCGATGCATGGTGGACTCTTTTTTGTCACAGTCGGCCATCCCCAGGCACTGGTCATCCGTTGTGGTTGCATGACCCCTTGATAAAATCTGAATGCAGATAAAGCCAAAACAATATCAAAACAATAGCAGCAGGAGCAACAGCAGCAACCATAGTCCTAGAAGTAATAATAAGAATTCTAGCAATAGACATAATCATAACAACAAGAAAGGCAGTAATCACAATAATTATGGTAGCAGTAATGATAACGGCAACAAAACGGTAAATTGGAAAGATACGTCGTCGTCATCAAAACGAACAGGGTAGAAGTAGTAGTAACAGTCATACCAACGGTAGTTAGTTGGTAGTAACATTGGTGAAATTCCAAGAGTATGTCTACTAATGATACTGAAATCCTTGCTTGCTTGTTTGCTCGCTTCCTTCCGGCGTCTTTCCTGTGTCCCTTCTTCCTTACTACTTCCTCCCTGCTTTTCTGCTTCCTCGCAAGCAGAAAGCAAAGCGCACAAGGCAAACGGCTGAAAACGAAAGGAAAAACAAAAATAGAAGGGGAACAGCAGAAAGCAAAAAGAAGCTTGCGACAACAAACAACAGAAAGTCAAAGGCAGAATTCTATGAAACGCGCCATATAAAATAACGAAACACATACAAACAAACCAACAAATAATTAGAATTCCAGGTACAATTGCCCGCCTGACACCTCACCAGCTGGCTGGCGTATTGGAACCCCTCACAGTGCGGGTGTTTTGCATGACGTCTTGCTGCTGCTTCTTCACCGAATTCCCGTACAACTGCCGGCCTAACACCTTTGCTACCTTTTGAAGCCCAATTCCAGTTTCAATTGCCATGCGTTGTTGCGGATGCTTTGTCCGGTAGGTAGAGTTGCATACCTGACACCTGGCTTGCCCATTTCCTTCGCCAGAGCGTTGAGCCCCCATTGCGCCTGACATCCTACAAGTAGCGGCTATCCTTGTTGCTGTCATAGTGTTATCCCGTCTCGCCTGACTTCCTTGCTGTTGGTCCTTGCTCTTGAACCCTGCCTGAATGGCCAAGTGTCAGGCTTGGCTTATGTCCCTAAACTCGAATGCACCTGCATGTTGGACAGGGAAGATTTCTTCATTGACCAGGTGCTCAAAGGAACTCACATTCAACTTTATGCCATTCTCGTACCTCCACATCATCTGTGGAGCCACAGTTGCCAGAAGAAGCCAGATACTCCGGATTCTGCGCACCATCCGGGAAACGAGGAAGTAAAACTACCTACACAAGTCGAGAGAGCACACTTCCCCACATACTGGGAGCTGGGCCTTGAGCCAATCAGCTTCGCATAGATATAGTCACAACCTCCCCCCACAAAATTGAAACCAAAATCTAGTCCAGGCCACCGACTCCGAAGCCAATTCCGTGCCTGACGACAGGATGCTGGGGCAGGAAGGCTGAAGCCCGCCAAGTTCCACCTCCCGCTGAGATAGATAACCATCCTTGTCTTTGTCCAACATCTCCTGCAAGGGTCTGCCCCACATCGCCACAGGTGCCAGTTGCGGCGCATGCTCTGGAGGCATGTTAGGGACCCAGCAAACAAAACTTCACCCTCATGGCGCCGCCAGGGTGCCACCTGCAACTGCAACTGTCGAGTGGTGGCGAACCTCTCGCAAGCATCATCACAGCAAATTAGCCTGAGCGGGAAGATCTGTTTGCGATAGCTCCATAGCTGACTAGCTGCTGCACATGAGGAGCCTCTTTGTTGCACAAGTGCTCTAAGCTCCGCTTGCATGTTGCGCCAGTGCAAACTCCTTAACCATATCACCCTTCACTTAGGCCGGCCTTCTGGCGTTTAGCATGTCAACCTGACCTGATCCGCGGCTGCGTTAACAGCATCTGTTCTGTGCGTGCCTGCATGCACACTCAGGCTCGTAACCCTGACCTACACGCTAAAGCTCTTTGACGGCATCTGCAACTTGGACCGGTGTCCAACTCCGTCTGGTGAAACATCCGACGCGAAGGCGAGCTGTCAGAGCCTGTAAGGACCAGGAGCGCAAGGTCTTTCTTTCAAACGATCTGCAAAGAAGTCTGAAACACGTCGGAGAGCACGTGGGAGCCTGCGAGCAGCAGTCCGCCGCCTGAGCTCCGCCAAGGCCGGCATGCGGCTCAAAGGACCAAGAGCCGTGACCTCAAAGGCTGCAGCTTCCCCCCTGCTTGATGCCTACCGACGGTGGTCAGCTACAAAGGTGCAGAAGTTGCTGGCCACTAAGCATATCGCAGCCACATCTTTGTCGAACAGTCGCCTTTGCTTCATAGAGCCAGGTGCATGGTTGGGAACGATGTGACATTGATGCAGCTGTCTCATAGGATTAGCTGCCCAGCGCATAAGCCCCAGGCTCCCTCGCCACTCGCTTCACCTGCTTTTGCAGAGCTGTCTCTGAAGGTCCATAGTGCCATAGACTGTCAGTGTGGAGGTCACGGCGAAGGTCAGTCTGCAAAACCGCGTACAACTACGCAAGAACTAAGGAAGTGCCTCCTCGGTGTTGATGGCTTCCAGGCGCAGAAGCAGTTCAGTCAACGGAACACCTGCCGTGTGCGAACAGAGCGCTCCCAATGACATCACTGCGAGTGCTTGCAGGAGACGTGTCTGGATCAGGTAGCGAGGCAAGCGGCAAAACCAGCTTGGAGATTTGAGTGACGCACACAGGTCACAGCCGAAGAGCACTTCAGGAGCGCAAGAGGCGGCAAGCAGATGGAAAAATTGCAAAAAATCTCCCCTGCTCCAAAGGCACCTCTAGAGCTCCGAGACCAAACCAGCTCGGGGCAAATTTGCTCTGGGAGCTTCAAATGACGACAAGTACGGCACTTGTTCCAGAGCCCCGATCGTAAGCCAAGGGGAGACCTGCATGGAGCATCTGGCAGACCAGCACATCGAGCTTAGGAAAGAACATAGTTCTGGAGCACAGAAGCCGAAGGAAGCCGGCACAACATGGTACAAGCGCAACACTCCAAAGCAGGGAGGACATCTCGGAACGAACACCATGCTAGGCGGCATGCGGTCATGCCTGTGAGGGGCTTGTCGGGCAAAACTTGAAAGTGGCAGTAGGTACTATGCCTGCTGCTGCACCCACACCTTGGGAGGGTTTCACAGTGCAGCCGTGACGTCTACACTCTAAGTGCTGTCCTTGTCTGCACTCGCACTTGCGGGAGCCCTCACTGACTTGAAGCAGCAATAAGTGATTTGTTGAAGAGGGAGCATTGCCTAGCAGGCAACTGCACACGTCAACTTCTGCATCTGGCGAAAGCACGAAGGCAGCACGTCGGCCATAGACCAAAAGCTGGCGGCCGATGTCCTGGCATGCCGAAAACACGCGCTAAGATAGGTACAAGCTTGGAGGCTCCTCTGCTATGGCGGTGGTGGAATCCAAGCTGCCAAACAGGGTGGTTTTCAGCTGCCTTTTCCCTCGTTCCACCTCCAATCCACGAAGTATGCTGATGGGCCGTTCTTGCCTTTTCCAGCTCAGCGTTGCCTCCTCTTCTGTGACAGAAAATGCCAGATTGCTCACCTGCATCCATGCAGGGTGTATGCTAGGCCTGCTTGTCACTAGCCTTCTTTCATGACTAAGATGCTGGCAGCGAACAGCAGCTCGTCCAAGTATCCGTCCAGGGTTTCTTCATCACTCTCACCATAGAACCCGAAGATTCCAGTATCCTGGCATAGCCGTCAAGGCGGCATAACCCTTGCTTGGGACCTACAAAAAAACTTGCAATCATCCGAATCCACCTTGTAACACGTGTTGAAGGCTGCGAAGGATTCTGCACCTGGAAGCATACTTGCGTTTATACCACACCAGCCAATCAAAGACTGAGCCCGCTCGAAAGCGCTCCACAGCAACGCGACTTGCGGTCATTTGAAGTCCTAGAGTTGGGCTCAAAATTTGCGAGCTCCATCACCTGTCTCTAACGTACTTTTAGTTCAGCATGTAGGTTTTTAGAGTCATCTGCCTTGCACAACGCCTCAGCTGAAGCATCGCTGCGATCGCGTGATGCTTGCTGTAAAGTAGCCATGTCCGGCTTTGCCTTCTGAAAAGGCTTTGCGAAACACACTCAAGCAAAGAGCAAACGCAGGCAGACTGCAAATCTTGTAGGTGCCCTGCGTGCGCAAACGTGTTTATCAGTGGTCGAATGGCACATACAAGGGCCAGGCAACATGGGGGCCAACCCCCAGCTGACCCCCCCTGTGCAAGACGGGGCCAGAGCACTGCTTGATGTCCAGCACTGTGGGGGCCAAGAATACAGCTGCACAAACAAAGGGCACACACACGCAGAGCTGCAAATGGCAGGCAAAATCTTTGACAAAGCGTGCCCACTGCTTGCACACTTATACTCGGCAATTCGCGCACGGGTATACATGCATTGCGCCCGCAGCCACAAGCATGTGACATCGACATATATGGCTTGCAAGACAAAGCCGCCAAGGGTGACATTAACTTCAGCACCGGCACTTACGCTGCAGCACTGCATCAATTTGGCAGGATCCAACTCCAGCACCTCAAGAGTCTGCAGATAATCAGCGCCAGGAAAACATATAATTAATGTTTGGCGAGGCTCCGGGTGGGCCAGCTGGGGCCTGTTGCTATGCCTGCTGGCTTGGCTTTTGCAAGCTACTCCAACATGTGAACCAGCCAAGCAAGATAGATGTGGGAGGGAACTCACATGCTGGCCATGGACGATGAGCAGCAGGTGTTGACGAATGGCGGACCAGGAGCGCGAGTCTTACATCCCTTCTTTGTTTAAATGCTCGAAGGAGAGGTGTACATAGTTTACATTCCGTATTTTGCACGGCTCCGAGACTCAGCAAACAAAAAGCATCTGTGGAGTTCGAGAAATCCATGCACTCTTCCCATCGCTGCCAAGGCTTCTCTTTTTTGGTCTCTCCCTCTTTCAGTCCTTGTCCCCGCGGAAGTTTGCAAGAGAAAAACGCTTCTGGCGAGCATAAGGACCCACAGCAATCATCCCGCAGCTGATGCCAATGCCGCAGCGCTGGATCATTCAGTCACCAGCCCATAAATCCCTCTCCATGTTGTTTGCTTCATTTGTCTGTCAGTCAAAAATATCATACCCCGCCCCCTAAGCTGTTGCAGATTGCGGCTCCCAAGCTGTACTGACCTTGACTGTGTGATTCTCGAATGAAAGAATCTCACAAATGTTCCACCTGGGTGGCGCGGATAAGGCTTTGGTATTCGACCAGGGCAGAACTCAGGCAAAGGAGGTGGTGGATGGCTCTGACAAAAGCTCGCATAAGGAGTGCTGTTGCATGGTGACCTCGGTATGCGAACTACGTTGAGAAGTGCCTGGCACCCATTTGATCCTATAGCTGTTGGCCACTAATTGCAAAGCTTACTCCCTTTCATGCGCCGTTGGCAATGCAGCAAGCTGCAACAAGAGAATTACTTCCCAGCAGCAAGCAAAACGAGAGCTCTGCCTGAGCCCAGATTGTTGGCCACGCTGTTCGTAAGCCTCATGCAGCTCTTGTAGACCTGGACTGTTCACAAAGCCATCCAAGGCCGCAACCGATTGCTGGAGAGTCTCGCAGGCACAAGTCCTCACACTGCAAAATCATAGCATTGTAGCACCATGTGCAACGTAACTTGCCTTCGTTCCGTTTGTAGTTGCCAATGATGGTCTGCAGGACCTGTATACAGGAGGCATATTACAACACCTTGCGCAAAGAAATTGCTGCACCACTCCGTGCAGCAGAGCAACCATGAAAGTCAGGGAGTCCGGATGTGTCCATGGAACTCGGGCGTTCAAGTAAAACACCAATAGGGCCCCAGCAACACAAGGTGACAAACAAAGTACACACTTGGCTCCAAGCCCCCTTCGTAGCCGATGGCAAAGTGCGCGAGGTTTTCCTAGAATCTCAACACAAATAAAAACACCCCAGTGAGACTACCCACAAGCCGGCCTCTGAGCCATAGAGCAGCTCTGCTCCACAAAACGCAGCCTTCCCCTGACAGATTAACATCCAGCAATCGATGGCTTCTAGATTGAACATCTGCTGGGTCTGGCCTGCTCACGCTGCAGGCCATTGCTCGGCCTGAAATGACCTGCAGCACTTTCTGTAGGAGGCTATGAATTTAAAACTTAGAGCACGCATAGGTCAGGACAAAAGAGTTCTTCTGAATGACGAACTAGCTCTCCATGGTCCACTGGCCCAGCTGCTGCCACGACCTGCAACATACGTTGAACTTTGCAAAACACGCCCTGAACCCACCCACAGAGGTTCTCCAACGCTGCTCAAAAAGGCTGAATCCCTGCGTAATTTCTTGTTTCAGGTCACGCGTTTTAAAGCCAGAAAGCCTGAGCTCCATGCTTGATTTGACGTTCCCAATCCTCTGGGGCCGTTATCCAAAACTTGGGCCCTGGGGCGAGATCTAACCGAACGGAACAAAATAGGACAGAGCAGCTGTGGATTTGCCGCGAGATAGTACCGGGTGCGCCAGGATCATGCTTGCCTTCCCTGAGCCGAGCCGATGCAACTGCAGTGGGAGGTCCTCTGCCACATTTGGCGGATGTTCAAACAACCCAAAACGCCTGAAAACCCAGACAGTGGAGCCAGCATCATCAGCATCAGAAGGCGCCCGCTTCGATGTTCACGAGACCCAACAAGGCAACCCCCCCCCCCAACAAAACAGGTCTTGGTAGGGCCTAGCCACGATGCCTCTCAGGACTGCCTCCTCGGAGTTCTGATCTGACTGCAATGAATGAGCAAAGCTGGGCTTCAAAGCTTTCACCTCACTGCTCTGGAAGGAAAACCTGAGAGTCAATTTGAAGATTCTGAGGTTGCCCTGGATTGTCGCGGATGTTCTGGTATCGTGTTGAACCCTTCGTGCCACATACATGTCAATATTTGAGAGGAGACGGTTGGCCTCAACACGGGCTCTAGGTCGTCCGGAAAAAAAGGGGAAAATGTTAAAGGACACCAAAATCAAGGATCCCACATCCGCATGTACACCGGGCTGTGTATGTACCGAACCACCCATATTTGGCTTCACAGAGCCTTCGTCTCCGACCTCCCCGGCTGAATGTTAGTGGGATGCTGACAACTATTTCGAAGGCAAAGAGGAGAAGTGAAAGAAATAAACCAAAGATAAGGTAGGACCTTCTTTCTGGAACCATGCTCCTACAATTAGAACTCTTGCAACTGCTCCCGAATGCGTGCACCTTACCATTTTGAGGTTCGCAGCGGTTCGCATATATCACAGCAAGTCAGGAGCCGCCCGAGCATTGAAACGATGAGGCAGGCACGATGCGATCTGCCGTGTAGTTTGACTGCACATATGTTCGCAACTGATCTTGAGTAATTGACCTCGCACCAGGAACATGCTGCGGAATCTGACTGACAAGTTCACGGAAACTCTCAGACTGCCCAGGGGCTGGATGTTCTCGACAGGTCCAAGGATTGTGTAGCCCAGCCTTTGCAGTGATCAGAGGCATCTTATCATACATCATGGTTTGAAGTCCGGAAGTCACACAGATATGGCTCAGTAGCGAACGGGCTGTCATGGAAAGCTGCTAGATGCAGACGGTCGAAAATGACCTCATGCACACAACCGAAATATCCGATAACATGTAGTTTGCAAATGCCTCCTCTGTTGTTTTCTCGACTTCCTCCATCTCTCGAAGGATAACCCCCCGCTCGAAGTCGAGATGTGCCCTGATTTGCTGTTTGCTGCTCTTGACCAGCCAATGTTCAGGCCGATCATGATATTAGGGCCCTGGCTGGTCAAGTGTTGAATGCTGAAGAATATCTGCTAAAATGTCCACTCCTGAGAGAATGCATGCCCAATTGTCATTCGCATCAAGCCTTGGTGTCCCGGACCGTTCCGCAGGTCGCTCTTGAAGCATTTGGCATAGTACACCTTCGATGTGAGATATGCGCTCATAAGAGGTATACCAAAAGAGGTCCAGACCGTTTGCTCTCGAGACGTGTAGGCATTCAAGTGGCCCCCCATGTTCTCGATTTCCTGCATGAACTGGCACCCGAAGATCTCCAAAGTTAGTAGTTTTCGCTTCGTGGTGTTTGCCGTCCTGCTCAAGCTGGATCCGATTTCTCCGCTTCGTGCCTTTGAAGGCCATGTGCTCCAGGAAATGAGCAGTGCCATTGTTTTCCTGTGAAATAGGTGTGGATGAGGGTGCTGTTGGATTCGACGAGATCAAGTGTCCTTGGTCTCGAAGCGGCTTCCCGCATCAATCCAAACGCCCACAGTGACGGTCTCCTGGCCGCATCGAATGTTCATTGCAGGACGTCCATGTGCACTGCAGCGCACATGTCAGGCTGGCATCCGGTGTATACTGCGAGGCTATTCTCATACCACTCGAAAGAGTCGTGACCTGCCAGGCAGTGTGCCAGGCAATGTTCCAGGCAATGTTCACATGTGGAGACAATGTGCACCTTGGTGGGCGGCTGCTGATAAGCGGCCAACTCACCCTGCAGCGAGGACATTCCTCGCCGGTGCGCCAGCTGAAGCGGCCTGCTGCAGGAAGCTTCAAGCAGCGTTTGTCAAACCAACATTGCCTTGTCTTGCATTATAAACACTAAGAAAAGAACCACATGCATAGCAACATTAACCAAGAATGAGAGAAAGGCAATCTCATGAAACATCTACGTTTTCCTCTGTAATTTGAACGTTGCTAGGTCACTGGCAAGGAAAAACCTAGAACAAGGGCAAGAGCAACAAACAAATAATGCTGGAGTGTCCGCTGGAACGCGAACGAAAAGCAGCTGGAAAGAGCACTCTTGCACATTGTCTTTTGTAGAAAGTCTGCGATAAGAGATTGGCCCATAATTTCCTCTTCTTGTATATCGAAACTACAATTGCGTCGTGTAGGTTTGGCTTGAGCATACCTGATGCATGTATTTTGCTTACGGGGTAGGATGCATTACAAGCCCATTTGTGCATGCGAATGAAGCGTTTTAGCTGCTTTTTCCAACGGCTGGCTTGGTCTGCATTTGTCCCCAACTTCCTGTGGCATCGTGGTAGTCCTGGCCCCAGGACTGAAATTGCATATTGCGGTAATGTAATGTTGCTAATTGTGGAATCAGTGCTGTGGTCTTCGAACCATCGCAAACATGGACGAACCTGAGAACATGTAGCTTTTGGCTGAGTTTTGACAGGATGCACCAAGTACGAGCTTTGCGTTTGCTTTTGCCACGCCTTCATTGGCTTTGAAAAGAGCAGGGGATGTGGGGGGTTAGGGGGCGCTGCATCCCCACCAATTTGGAAAACATTTACGAAACATGAGAACTCTTGCTAAGTCGTTCCAGGATTTGCGGGAGGGTAAGGGGATGCAGGTAGCTTCTGGCTGCACTTTGATCAGACCCGTCAGGTCTTGTTTTTGCTGAGGACTTGGACGATGATGGGGGCACAAAGATCTGGCTAGATTTTGACCGGCTTTGCCAAGCACGGCAATTGCCTTGGCTCCATTGGTCTCCATTATAGAACAGCAGGACAAAAGATGAGAACAAATGAGCTCTCGCAAAAACGTTTCATAGGACGTATTACACTTACACGTGCAACAGGATCAGGCGAGTTCACTCTATCGTCAAGGGGGAGAAAAAATCTACATACCAAGCTGTTGCCTTTCTGCCAGCATTTTACGTTCTGTATTTTATTAACGTGCTTCGTATGTTTAAAAGTGTCCTTTGCTTCCTCGCTTCGCTGTCTTTGCTCCTTTCTGTCCTTCGTTCAGTTGCAGATGAGGAACCGATAATGATTTACAAGCATCCTCAAAAGCAGTCCAGAACAGCATGCTCCCCCAAAGCTTTCTTCTGTGCTAGTTCATGTCTATTGCCTTATTTCCCTTCTGCGGGTATAGGACCTAGACCTAGAGTACTTGACAGATTCGCATACTCCCAAGAAACCAAGGCATGTGCTTTTTGATGATTACGAAGTTGTCTTAGCGCCTATACCTTATATGACGCAAGACTGCATTCGGGATTGTAGTTCCTATCAGATTTCCTTCCGTTCGGTCCTTCCTTTCGTTCTTTACCTCATGCCTTCTTCTGGAGAAAAACAAAAGTTTCCCCCAGAAGCCACCCTGCAATGTGCCTCCATAGCCGCCTGGTGCACAACATCGCCGTCCTTCCAGACATCAAAGAACTTAGGCAAATGTCATCATATGACTCATACACATCTGACATCCCAGGCCCTCACCGCACACCCTGGCGAGGCTCAAATGGATTTGCTGCAACCTGCGGAAGCTGTCGACACCTTGCTTTTGCCCATCAAGGCTCTAATGGCTCCTGACAGCTTGCATGTAGTGGAAGTAGCTTAGCAAACTTGCACTGCTGGCATGCTGCATGCCTACAAGCATTGACACATGACATGCTGAAGCCATCAGTCAGGCTTCGCGTGTGCAATTTTCAAGTCCATGGCCCCTAGCCCTAGCACGTGCCATGGATTCTCAGCATAGCTTGATTTTGGAATACCTAGGCCGGATTCAGGGCCATCGGGAAAAACCAGCCTAATCGGGACATGGGCCGAGAATTGCTTCGCAATCTTTGATAGGCCCACGACGGCTGAATTCTGAGGCTGCAAAGAACTTCCAGAGCTCTCCATGCGCATGCTGTGCATCTTGATACTCGTCTAGCACGTCTGATGGACATGCTGGCATGGTATCACACTGGGCTCCTGCTGCTGTTTTAAACAGCGCGTGCGACTAAGTTGAAGCAGAGCCCATGGATTTGCTGAGCAGACATCTGGCTGCATGCATCACTTGAGTTGGAAAGGATGCAACTACAGGCTCCGCTTGCATGGAACAAGGTGAAAACGACGGCTTTCGGTAACTAATTCTCCTTCTGAAATTGAAATCTCTCACACTACTCCCAACCAGCAAATGTCTCAGAAGCAAAGCTGAGTGATCTACCTGCAGCAGGCAGCACAGGACTAGTGCTACTTGCAAATCCTGTCTCACATGCGAACTGGCCTCGCAATGCTCTTGGTGGCATTTTTGGGCAGACGCGTCAGGTCATTGTACCTCATGGCCATCACTCTCCCCGTGCATGCCGTGCATGTGATGGGTACCATATCCACGAGTAAGCCTCCGACACGAGCCTAGAGCTACACCGATAGCTGTTGCAAGAGAGTGCACCTCCTGCTTCAGAGACTGCACACCTCGCAGGTCGTACCGCAGGTCGTACCCACTGAATTGCAAGCATCTCAGAAACCTTATCGTGTTTGCCTGTCTCCACAAGGTCCAATTGTCGGTCAATACTCCGCTCCATGACCGATATTTGTTGGCGACCCTGAGAGCAACATGGCCATCCACAACTGCATTTACCAGACTCTCTCCATACTTGAAGGAGCTTGTAGGTGCCTCCTTTTCTGAACGGCGCAGCTCGCAGTGCACCGCCATGATATCTTTCGCTTTGGCACTACCTATGACCTGTGCCAGTGGGCATCACACCCTATCAAGGCAAGAAGTTGGCAGCAAGCTCAACTTCTCGGCTAATGTCTTGGCCTTCAAAAGACCTCCAACAAACTCAGCCGCGTCCAAGTAGCCACTGCCATCATAGTCCAGGATACTTAGGGGCGCGCAAGTTAGACTTCAAAAAACTGGAGCTGAAGAACCTTGAGAGCAGGTTTGAGACCCGAGCGTGAAGAGGTACTCGGCTTCGTTGGGGTCAATGCCTATCTCTTCAAAGTACCTTGAGTTAATGTTGGAACAATGATACTGCAACTGATTATCCGCCCTGCTGCTCATCGCTTTGGATGCGAAAGTTTGCGTTGTTGTCTGAGATGCTCGCCTGGCCACCTTAGGCTGGCTGACTTGTTCCCGAAACTCCTCTCGCGTGAGGACCTTGTTTTCGAGGCAGCCTTTATAACAAAGGAAATTCCTTTTTTGGAGCTGTCAAGCTAAGCCTATGGGGACGGCACCCCGTCTTGGTTGCAGTCACCGTCTTGAAAAACCTCATGGGGCATATGGACTCTGCCTCACGACCACGTCAAGCAAGCAACGAACCTTGTAGATTTTGTCATAAGCTCGGCGGAGATCCTCAAGCCTAGTTACAGAATTTACGTGTCTCTCGACGTTCGCTAGCCACAGTGCTACAAGCACCACACCGCTTCTCCGCGGACTTGAGCTTGCTCTGATCTGCCTGCAACGTCTAAGCAGAGTTTCGTAGCCTGAAATACAGGAAAAAGGAAAGCCGCAGGCAACAAGAACTTGCGGATATGAGGCAGGCTGGACTGCCCAAACAAGCACTTCTCCTCTAGAGTGCCATCTCGGCCAAACTACAGAAAGTTGGGAAGACCACGGCAGATTGAGGCGAGTTCCAGCCCTGCCCTCCCTAAGCCCTGGGCTGCAGTTGAAAACAAACAAAGCTCGAAAAGGAACCAGACAGCCAAGTGGATACAACTTGCAAGTTGCGGCTGCTGGCCTCGTCCAGTGTGCTCTCGACAATAACGGCAACCATGACATTTAGAATAGCAAACGTTGTCACCTCAAAGGTCAGGGCAATCGCACAACATCTATATCATGCAATTCGCTCTGAGACTCTCAGGGCCCCGCGTGAAGGTAAAGGATGAAGAACAAGGCGAACCAAGGCTGATGGTCCATGACCTCAAAACATGGCATGGTATGGCAGGATGGTCCATGACCTCAAAACATGGCATGGTATGGCAGGAATACAGAACTTTTGCAAAGGGATCAGTCCTGGCCTGTCTTGCGATGTCTGCCCAACCTTCTGTAGTTGTGGCTTGAAAGAGCGTCAACATGCTCCTTCGCAAAATACGCTTGCAGGATGCAGCAGTCATCCCTCAAGATATACTGAAAACGTCGTCCTGCCAACATGTCCAAAGTATTCATCAAAGAAAGGATCGCCTGTCGGCTGTGTGATCAGCCAAAATCTGAATGTCATCTACCCTGAGATAACCAAACAGCCTGAGTGCGGTTGCCCAATCAGACGAGTGGAAACAATGCTGAAAATATAAATCACGGTCGCCAGCAAAACCATCCTCGCCACACCACGGGCTTACAGAATGTGTGCAGGATACGCATCACCAGGGCGCCGGCGTCCAAAACAATGTCCAAGCTGCATTCAGAATGCCTTTTACCAGCTTCCACAAACCATCCAGGATTCGAAGAAGCCTGCAACAGCAAATTGGTCGATTAGACAGACATGACAGCTCTCGTGAGCACTGGCCTGAAAACCCGAATGACTCTGATTAGCCGCATGAGGCGCAACACCGAGAATCTGCTAAGATCACTGGTGTTCCTGGATCCGGCTGCTGAGGCGCATCCGATATCCGATTTCTGAGCAAGAGCAAGAGACAGCCAGCCGGCGGTCCTCAATGCAAAGGTGAGTATGTTGTCGACCTCAATGCAAAGCAGCAACTTCGCGCCAGTTTCACAGCTTCACAGCCACGACCACACAGAGCCACTGACGCTCTCACGGGCGTTGAACTCTCGTGGGGTTCCCGGGGCCCAGGCAATGGAAGCTGCGACGATGAGCAAGTCAAACAGATTCCTGGCCCCCGACAGGCGCACATCCAACCGCAACTCAAGCGTCAAACACATGCCGAAGTGTCCACCCGCTATAGAAGAAGTACTTCACTGGTATGGTCGCCTCGGCCATCCAACGCATGCTAGTGGAGCTAACCCCCTTTGTGGAGAGACTTGGAAGCTGACAATGAAGCGAAGGAATAATTCAATCGCAAAAATGACGGAGAAGAGTATCTGGCAATTGCATTTCTATGACACAGCATTCGTGCCAATGCGCAGAAAGAAAGCACCTCGAAAGCTGCCCAAATTCCACGCTCGCCGCCCTGGTTTGCATCCACCTCTATGCCCATGTAGACCTAGGATTCTGCATGGATCGGTCATCTTGTCATAGCAAGCATGCCAAGCTCCACACGGCATTGCTTGTAATGATGAAGGCCACCGAGAGCAGAAAGGGTCGGCTGCGCACCACCTCCAACGAATCACCAATCGAGCGTTCCCTGCTCGGCAGCATGCTTGTGCCTTAAGAAGCTTCTTGCGCGTGGCAAGGCTGCAGACCTGTTGCAAAGAACTGGAATTGTTAAGCACGTGCCAAGAGTACAACTTCAAATCTGCCAACCTTCTTGAGGCATCCAGGATCCTGCTGCTGCCGTTCCACATCTGCCGCAGCTTCGACTTCCCCTTGAACTTGCATTGCAAAATTGGCTTGTTCCTGTCAAAACGGGTGTGTAAAGTCTGCCACAGCACTTGAACCACACTGAAAATGCCGGCAGCACCGCCAGGGACAGTCTCCGTCTGCCAGCTGCTTGCCTCTGGTGTGCCTTGGAAAGCCCTCTCGTTACAATAGCAATGCGCCAGACTACATGACACAACATGTGCTATAGAACAAACATCCTGCGTGTGGCACATGTTCATCATCTCTTCCGTCCTCGTCGCTGCCTCGCTTCAGGAATGCCATGGCACGCAAAACTCGTGCGTGCCATTCTAGAATCATGTGACAACGAAACGATGAG